AATAGGGAAGGGTGGAGGGGGTGGAGGCGGTGAAGGGAGGGCTAGGAATGGGGAAAAAATAAGAACCAAGATGCATTATGTAAAGGTACAGTTCCCAATGAGAAATGTAATTGTGTTGCATACCTACAATGTACCAATAAAAGAATTTAATAAAGTGCAAAAAAAAAATAAGACTCCTTAACAATGATAAAAAAATTATTTCCATTCTCCAAGCATAAACTGGTAGCTTAGATTTAAGGAGCATAAACTGGTAGCTTAGATTTAAGATGGCCTAGGAAACTGGCAGAAGATAAACCAGGAGCAAGCCTTAGCTGCAATGATACATCCATTTCAACATGTATCATTTATGGCCATATAAACACAAAATCTAAAGCTTATAATCAAGCAAAATAAAACAGGCCCATCAACACAGAATTACATATTGAAATGATGACTATGAAAGGCACAAACTACCATACAGTTGAAGTACATACCCTCTTTAAGAAGCATTTCTGTTCATGATATAAGGAAAGAATCCAGTCTTACCCTGAATACAGAGCCAACACACCTTCTTCTTTATAGATTCGGAACAAGGCATGGAACATTCCTCTATATTTTATCTCTTTGAAACGAACATCAATGCTTTGGCCTTGTACTTGAAGTCGTGTTTTGGTAAGGTCCACAGGGAAAGTTCCTATAAATGAACACACTCACTTCTAAGTATTTCCAAAGAGTCACGGTTAGATGATCTCTACTAGAATACCACCACCAGAAGACAAGAGTTGTATGTTGTAATGTGAAATGTAGTATACTGTACCTAGGCAGCACAATTTGGCCCATCCTATACTTGACAATGTGATTTTTATAAAGGGCTTTAAGATGATTCTAATACATTATAAATGCAAATTAATTTAAATGTTTTAATTTCATCCATAACATTCAATATGGCATTTTATCAGTCTCTTGCTCACAGCCATCATTTAAAATGTCCCCAAATTTTCACAAACACTGGAAATCATAGGCTTGCTGCTCCACATGCTCTTATATACTACTAAGACATTTGTGGGGGTTTTTAATCTGAGTATAAGAAACAAACAGCTCTGCAATATTTCAAAAGATAATGACAATAACCTATTTGGTTATAAGGAATCTAATCCCGATTCCTTAGATAATTCAGTTCTAATAGTCACAAAATGCTTAGAGAGTAAAATTTCCTTAACTAAACTTCTTTTTCTTATACAACACACAGAAGTAGTCATTATACTGACAAAATATATTCCAAGGAATACATCAAGGTCTAAATTAACAAAGTGATTACATAGTTCTGGTCACTTGTTACCTAGATGTAAGAATACCAGAGGATATACCAAGAAAGTAAATGAAGTTTGGTAGACTGTAGTCACTTATGAATAGTTCAGGAAAGAGACAATCTGGAAGATAAAAAAAATTACATTCTAAAAATATTTCAAAATTAAAATCAAATAGAGGGCTGGGGATTTGGCTCAGTGGTTCCGCCCCCTGCCTCGAAAGCGCAAGGTCCCGAGTTCAATCCCCAGTA